TGGTTAATAAAAACAGTGAAATCATTTCTAATTTCAAAGTAGCCCTTTTGCCATCATGTATTTTCTCAATCAAAAATTAGTCGTCCGAGGCTACGCAACTAATTAGTGGCAGAGTCCTTGAAAGACGCACAGAGAAACCTGCACTTGATGTAGTCGGCTGTACTCAGTTAATAAGTCAATTAACAAATATTTATTCAATGTCTCCTACATGCAAGGTACAAAGAAGTACAAAGATTGTTTGGGCGGTGAGTTCTGCGTGTTTTTTTTTATGTTGAGTTTTTACCGAACTCTAGCAGACGTGCGGAGAGGTGCAGCTGCCCAGCGTGTGCAGGAGCTGGATGCATCTTCCTAGATTGCGCGTACCCCTGCGACCCAGACTGGCCACAGTGTGCTCGTGGCCCAGGAGCCCACCCTCGTCCCCTCCAACCCCTTCCCGGTTTAGAATCGTGTTTTCTGCCTGCGCTTTACGGAGCGGGCGCGGACAGCAGGCACCAGGGCTTCTGAGGGGGTGCTCAGCCTGTGCGCACCTTCGGGGGGAACTCAGAGCAGAAAGGCTGGTCACTGGTGGCCCTGTGCCCGGGCGGCACCCTCTTCAGGAGCATCGGCTGGATTCAGGTCCCCAGCGAGGAGGTGGGAGGGTCTCTCAGGAGCATCACGCAGCACTGAGGGTTGTGCAGACACGTTAGGAGTTGGTGATGGGACGCCAGCTGTTTTGATGTAAAATGGGCAGCATGAGTAATCGAGCTGTGTATTTGAAGAAGATGGGGAGGTAAAAAAAAAAAAACAAAAAACAAAACTGAAAGAATAAGGAAAAGCTCCTCTCTTGAGTTGGCTGAACACCAGCCCCGTCGTAGCCTCTATGGCCTTGGACAAGTCATGTGACTGCTTCACGCTCCCCTCTCTCCCCTCTCTCCTGCGCCGGGAGGTGGGCTGGACTAAGTTCCTTGCAAGGTGAAGTTCCAAGTGTCGTGAAAACGCAGAGGGCTATGCTGCCAATCTCCCAGACAGGAAAATCTATAAGAAGCTGAAAGTTTTACACAAACGCCAGCTAACCGTCCACTTTCCCTCCCACCACCCCCGGCACTGTTCCACTCAGGCACTCACGCGCTGTTGAAGTTCGCTTAGTTCTTTCCCAGGCTCCTCTTAAAGCAAAATAGGAACCTATGAAGGCATCAGGAGAGTTTTATAGGACAGAACTACAATTAAAAAAATTTTTTTTGCGTATATATGAATTCATTATAAGGAATTGCCTTGTACAGTTATGGGGGGGTCGACTCAGCAAGTCTGAAGTCCATAGCACACGCCATGGGGAGGGAAGGTGACAAGCCGGCCTTGGCAGGACTTGAGCTGAAACTAGTTCACAGGTGGGAGTGTCTCTACCCCGGGGAGGCCAAAACCACCTTTAAATGGCTTTTCAGTTGATTAAGTTTTACATTTCAGCTTAAATCGTAGGTTCATTAGTTTTCCCAATTGACCGTAAAGTGATTACCCCCAACCTTTCATTGTCGTTTGTATTGATATGTTGTATCGTATCAATAGCACTCGACCGGAGCCCCTCACCTCGAACTTCTCAAACCCCTAAGTCAGCTTCACAGGTGCATCATTTCAAATTTATGTTCTGCCCACTGCACCCCACATTCCCACTTCAGACCGATAACATCGACAGCAGTGTCCACCCAGGAATTTAATTTCAGTTTATTTAAATTATAGTTAATTGAATGACAAGTGCATCGCTTTAGTTGTCCGTATTCTTTCCCCTCTCCCCTTCTGCCTGTCATGTCTTCTCTTCTCCCACTCAGTTCATATTCTTGGGAGGAAACCACAAAATCAGGTGACCACAGGGATTCCCAGTGGGAGGAGGTGGCAGCCCCACTTGGTTGGTCACAACCCAGTGAACAGCCAGCAGCTGCCCGCCCCTCCCGGGTGGACAGGTGTCCTGATCTGAGGCCAGGGAAGGGCCAGCGGGGGCCTCTGCTGCGCTGCCTCTTGTAACGAGGCCCAGGTCTCTGCGGGACCTTGTTAGGTCCACAGAGCGGTGTCGGGGGGACCCTTGTTAGGTCTGCAGAGAGTGGCAGCCGCTCCCTCCTCTTCCCACTGCCCTCCTTGCGGCTCTGGGGAGGGTGGTGTGGGTGCAGTTCAAGGAGGCTGGCAGCAGTGCTTCCTCGACTTGTAGACTGGGAACCCCTCCTTCCCGGCCTCCGCCGTGGTTCATTCACGGGTGTGCTTGGTGAGCCGCCACTGATAGTTGCGGTGCGTGGAGAGGCCTTTACTCTCGTGCACAGGAAGCCATTTCTGCTTTTTTCACCGTGGGTTACAGCCATGGGCCACTGAGCACGCTTGGCTGCTGCACAGTTCAGTGTGGACAAATGAATCAGATGCTCTCCAGACGGCGCCGTGTGTTTGAAGAGCGCGCCATGGCCGCTATTTGACTGGTTTCTGTTTGTTAAAGCTGTTTTCTGCTTCCCTTTGCTTTGTTTATGCACTTAGGTGGCCCTTAATTTTTGCTTTTCTGATCCCAATTCATTTCTGTCTCTTACTAGTTTTGTGGTTCAGATTACAGCAGAGTTCATTGGGGTTGATATAATTTTTTGAGACCGTAGCACTCTGTTCCTACCAGAACAAAGAGAAATGAAGATTAACATCTAATTTCCTAAGTTATTGATTGTAACGGATTTGCCACAGTTGTTCAGAGAGGTGAGACATGGCCTGGTTTTCACCAGGTTTTCCCAGCCACAGGCGCTCACTGGGGGACCAGGCTCTTCTAGGGCCGTTGCGTTAGAGTTTCCAAAAGGGAGGCCTGGCGTCTCTGTTTTGAAAAGTCCATGATGACTTTCACGCATCAGTGGGTAAAGAAGGTCTCTTCCAGTTATAAAATCCTATTTTTTGTCAAAGTAATGCATGCACATAGCTAAAAATTCAAGTAATACTAAAAGCCGTGCAGGCATACCTCGGAGATGTGGCGGGTTCGGTTCCAGACCACGGCATACGAATCTTTTAGTTTCTCAGCACATATACAAGTTATGTTTATACTGTACTGTAGTCTGTTAAGTGTACATTAGCCTAAAAAAAAGTACATATTTTAAAAATGCTTTATTGCTAAAAAATGCTGATGATCATCTGAGCCTTCAGCAAGTCGTGACCTTTTTGCTGGCGGAAGGTCTGGCCGCAATGTCGGCGGCTCTGACTGAGCAGGGTGGTGGCTGCTGAAGGTTGGCGTGGCTGTGTAGTTTCTTAGACTAAGACGACAGTGCGGTTCGCTGCATCAGCCGACCCTTCCTTTCATAAAGGATTTCTCTGTCGCAAGCAATGCTGTGTGGTAGCTTTTTCCCCACAGCAGACAGACGTGGAGTATTCGGCATACATTTTCTGGAGCATGAGCGATGTCAGCCTGACACTTTAAGGGAAATAACTGACAATATTTGTTGCCAGTGATAAAACTTGATATTGCAAATAAAAAATAAGAATTTGGAGACCTTGTATCTGCCACTGTGAACTTGGCAGCTTCTCAATACTTAAGACTTTTCTGATGAGATCATGGTGATGTTAATGAGTGTGGATTTTTTTTTTACACTGGAGGGTGAAATAGAAGATCTGCATAGCTCAGTGAACCAAATGGCCAATGCATGGTACAAAATCATCTGTGGGTAAAAGATCCATTTGGGTGCAGCACAGAGCAGTGAATTTTAATGTGAGAGTGTACAACGAGTTCACTGACACGGTTTCAGATACTGCATTGCAAATATTCTTAAAGAAATGATCCCTTGTTGAATTTTGGTGCGGTATGTATAAAGAGCCATGATTATCTAAAGCAGCTATTTGTGATACTTCTGTCTCTGCTAATGATACATCTGTGTAGAAAGTGGGATTTTCTTTATATGCGTCAACTAGAACTACGCACTGCAGCAGGTGAGTACAGAACCAGACATGAGGGCCCAGCTGTCATCCGTCAAACCAGATATTAAAGAAATTTGCAAAAAATGTATAACAGTGTTATTCTCACTAATTTTGGGGGAAAAAAGTTATTTTTCATAATAAATATTCATGTTAAAATATAACAGGTTTGTTATTTTTAAAATGAATGAAGAAATTTAAAAACATTTTCTTAATTTCAAATACAGTAAATACTGATAGATGCAGCCACATGAACAAAAGCTCTCTGTGGTCCTCACTGATCTTAAAGACTGCAAAGGGGTCCTGAGACCAAACAGGTTTGCGAGCTGCTGGTTTAGAGTTACCGGCTCTAGGACTGCGGTCCCCAATCCCCGGGACCTGGCCACAGAGCATCGCCTCTCACCCAACCCCATCCACATCCCCGTGTGTGGAAAAACCATCTTCCAGGAAACTTAGGAATGGGGAGGGGGGCCGCCTGAGCTCCACTTCCCCCTCCCATGGAAAAATTATCTTCCACGAAACCAGTCCCTGGTGCCAAAAAGGTTGGGGACCGCTGCTCTAGAAGCCATTCCTGAAATGAATGGGCAAACTGTGGACATACGTGTTTGTAAAACTGATTTTTTGTGGGAGAACTGAGAGTATTGATGGAAATTATTTAAAACGTATCACCTCCTTGTTCTTTGCTTGCTTTCTCCTGCTCCCGTACACACGAGAGCTGTGGTTTGGACGTGAGGAGGGACCCGGTTATTCTTACTGCAGGGCTCCCATGCAGGCAGGACCTCAGTTTTGGTGAAAGCACAGCCCCCAGCCTGTTCATATGAGCCTGGACAGGAGCACAGGGATAAAACAGCAAGAGTGCAAGGAAGCCACAGGTGCTGAAATACAAGCAACCGTGGATGGAAGAAAAAATAATCATCGTGCCAGTGGTGATAATGACCCCAGTTTTGGTGGGCATATTGGCTTGTTTGGGCACAGTAGCAGTTTCATAAATCTGGTTAAACAAAGACCAACCTTAGGCTGCTGTGTGTAGTTAAAGGAGACTTTGAAGCGCTTTGGCAGAGGAGGAAGTGCACATGTGAAGACCTTTCTCCTTTTCATTGCTTCCTCAGATCCTCTGTCCATGGGCCCTCAGAAAGCTCTGGAAACCATCGGTGCGAATTTGCAGAAGCAGTACGAGAACTGGCAGCCAAGGGTAAGCTTTCTCTCTTTGCTCTTCCCTTTCTTTCCCACAGGAAAGCTGCGATTCCGTGGCGTCAAAGTCTCAGCTGGAGACGGGAGTCGGCGGTGCTCATGCAGTCCTCACTGCGGGCCGGGTCGCTCCACGGCCTGCCGGTGCGCCGTGTTGTCGCTGACGACGGCACGCTACTGTGAGTCGGGCATTGGGTCGTCTAATTTATTTTGCTTAAGTTTTCTCCCAAAGTCTTCGGAAAAGAAAAAGTATTTGCCTTATTACTCTTCAATCATGGTTTTTATTTTTGCCAGGAGATGTGTTTCAGCAGCCTTTCTGCATCCTCAACTATCAGTTAGAGCTATTCCTCCTGCCTTCAGTTTTCAAACCGTTGAGAAAAAAAAGCACCCAACATTCAAAAGATGACACCTATTACATGCTTTGTCTTTGATTCAAAAGCTTCTTTTCAGAGAGCCAGTTGCCAATTAGTGTGTCTTTTGTTGCTTATATCTTACAGGTTTTTTTTCCTAAAAAAGAAAAGAAATGTGCCGTGGAATATAACTGTGTCAGATTGCCTGTAAGATCTCAAGTTATTCGTAAACCATCCAAGCACCTATCTCCTTTAGCCTTTCTCATGAACTGGTTTAGGGATTTAATCAATTTAATAGAATTTTAGAAATTTTGGGTGTTTATGGAGGAGCCTTTATATTCAGCTCTGTGTTGGGGCTGATTCTGGAATTATCTAAAGGAGTGTAATGAACAAGGTGGGTTAAGAAGGTGGCCTTACCTGTGCCCCTCTTGTGAGTTTTGCTCTCCCCTCTTCGATGTAAGCCCAATGGAAACAAATGATTTATATCATAGAACCCGTTGAACACTTACCTGGTAGAGATTTTGATTTGTGAGTCATTTATCCACATGATCTGGAATTTAGGGATTCCTTGTACATTATTTACATTCTTAGAGTAAGAGAATAGCCCTTAGGAAGTTCTGCTGTTGCTCATAGCAGTGAGCTCACTCTTGGGAAACATCTCTGTGTCTTAGGTGCGTCTTTGTTCTTTGCATTTCTAACTTGCCTCATCAGTATTAATGGACTTTTGTTCTTCAGAAGGCAGTGTCCTAGGTTATTTTGATATACGCCTAAAGGCTTTACTTTTTGCCCTCTCAAATTTGTTACCTCTTGATGGTTTATATAAAAAGTCAGTAGCTTTTTGCTTGAGAATGCAATGTGTTTGGGGGTTTGATGAGGACTAGAGAGATATTTTGATGGTGTATTCCTTTAAAAATAGTTGAGATGCCTAGTGTATTCAGTAGAAAATAGCTCCTTTGAGGACTTTGAAGGTACTCCAGGATCTCAGTGAGGTGAGACGGGCACTTACGGGAGAGTGGTGCAGAGTGGCATTCTTGGGAGACGTAGTGTCGTTGGTATCCGGGAGGTTGTCAACCAACACTGTATAAATTTAAAGGAATGCCTTTCTGACTCAGCTACTTTTGGCCATCTCCTGGGTGTGACTTCGTGCCTTTGCTTTTTGCTGGATACATTTGTTTAAAAAAGAACATAACCATATAAATTCAGATCTACCAGTTAAGTTCTTCATAGATGAGAGTGCAGTGGTGTCATCACAGCTCACTGCAACCTCAAACTCCTGGGCTCATGTGCACCTCCTGCCTCAGCCTCCTGAGTAGCTGGGACTACAGGTGTGATGCCACACCCAGCTAATTTTTCTATTTTTGGTAGAGATGGGGTCTTGCTCTTGTTCAGGCTGGTCTCAAATCCCTGAGCTCAAGCCATCCTCCTGCCTCAGCTTCCCAGAGGGCTAGGATTATAGGCGTGAGCCACCATGCCCAGCCTTTAAAGAATTATTACATAAGAAAATACAGTTTTTCAGCATACATATGTTTAATATTTCAAGATATTATATGTTTATTCCATTTGGTATGATTTATAATTTTCTTCGAGTGCTAAGAGTTTGGTTTACTGCTAGCTTTAATATTAGTTTAGCTTGGTAGGTATCGGCTAGTTCACACTAGCTGACAGTAAGTGGAATTTTCTAAAGTAGGATCTATTATTTTTAATCTAAATTTCTGTTTAGGGGCAGATCTCTTTCATGGCATCTGGAAGAGGCATTCTGATACAAGGCAGGCAACATTTATGTATAGGTAAATGATCACAGGTGACACAAGGAAGAAGACAGTGTAGTATCACGTACAGGATTGAGAATTGTCTTCCCGTGGCAGTGGCGTGGCTGTCCCTGGATGGTGAGCACAGATATAAAAGGGTGTAGTTCTCCAGGTAGATGGTCTTTAGGTCTGGGAAAATTTGTTAAAGTTGAAGGGATTTCAAGAATGGATCTGCAGAATCATTTTCTGAACAAGAGATAGTTTGAAGGGCTAGTGAGAAGGAGAATGTTTGAAAATTATAGGGTGCTTAGGAAAAGGTGTCATCGAACCATCTGGGTTGGTTTATTAAGTGGGATCTGGAATAAAGAAGTATCAGCTGCAGCCTGGAAAGAAATTGTTCATGCAAACATGGTTGGGATTTTTTGCCTGCATTCAGAAAGCAAAACCACAGCAATGCATACTTAATATTTTCTTTTTGAACGCCAAGACTATTGCATTCATTTTTAAGTATAAGAATGTTTAAAAATTTCCTGCTGCAAACCGTTAGTGGGACTCATCTATTTTAGAAAAGAGCCTAAGGGAACGGAAGTCACAGGATACCTCTGACTGGTGTCTGACGTCTGACGTGGGGCTGTTCCATATGCACTTGCTAACGATAGTACACGCCCTAGTGCACGTGACGTGCTTCTCCACTCTCCATAACCCCGTGTGTTACAGGAGAGAGTGGGGAGGCCTGGCGTAGACAGCAGTGGTTCTCAGTGAGGGGCAGACCTCATGCTGCCTTACAGAGTTTGCACAAAACATGAGGCAATTACCAAGCTCAGATGTTTGTGCGCAAGGTGTCTGGTCCCTGACTGTAAATCAGGGTCCTTTGAAACATTGCAAAGCTAAACACGCGCCACTTTATTGCACTCCACAGGGCTCTCCAGTTTCTGCAGTAATAAAGAGAGGCTGATGTGCTATCTGCAATAAAACAATGGGAATGTTATTAAATTTCCTAGACTTTTGACGTAAAGACCCATAGATCTGATTTTCTCTTCCTCTGTGTCCTTTATTGCAAGACTCACAAAGGTTGGGCAATTTGCAATAAGGTCATTTCCATTAACGTTTGCTGAAGTCGTTGCCTCCACATTGGCATGGATGGGACCAGGGGGTGCCTGTTACTGGGAAGGCGGCTCCCGTGCAGGACGTGCAGAAAATTGACCCTGGACACCCGTCAGCGGCGCACAGAGTGGTACCTTGAAGCCGATGCTTTCCTTACTGGTGCTGGAATGCTTGGACTTTTTCCCCTTACTTTTCTAGCTGTAACTATTCATGATTGAATATTTTGATGGAGGTGATTCTGGTTCAAGATGGAATTTAGAGAAACCATGGCTATTATATTTTTTTCCGAAGGCTCCCAGACTCTGGCCCATATTTCCTTGCCAGGCCCGTTGAATCCTTTTCTAAGTAATTTATCAGTTTGCCACTGGTGAAATATTTCTTCTGATTAAATTTAAGACTTTGCCTTATTACCTTGTAGGTGCATAAATTTGTGTTCTGCGGGAGATTGAAGGGAGAATGCCAGCTGTTGTTCCAGCTGAAAATTGTGCAGTAAAACCTCACTCATTTCATCCTAAGTCTCAACCGAAAGTTTTACTGGGAGGTGGGTTTAGGAGGTTATAAAGCCGAGGGTGTACAGTGAAGAATTTATCTTCACTGTAAGAGTTTTTCTAACAAATTGGGGATTCTGACAGTTCAGTACAGGAAATGAGCTGGGAGCTGGAGCCTATGGGACAGAAGCAGACAGGAGTCTCCCTCTCTGTCCTCCTTTCCCCAGGGGCAGTGCTCTAAGACCAGGAGCAGAGGGCCCCACTCCTTTCCTTGGGATGAGCTTTAATTCTGGTGGGTTAAAAACAAGTTTATATGGGAATATTTATCATTTACTAAGGAAGATGAAGACGTTTGGTGAGGCTTCCACTGTTGGCAGGTGGCTGGAGTGACCACCAGCTGTGTCCATTTGTCCAGTGTGTGCTCCTAGGGAAGAGGACAGAACCTGCTCTTCATCGCGAGTGTGCTTTGCCGAAGCACCTAATTTGCATCCTGACCCAGTCTGTGAGAGGCTAAGGTGGCAAGTCCTGTGCAGTCGCGGTGGTGCCTCCAGGGAGCCGAGCCGGCCAAGCAGTCGGGTTTGAGTCTTGACGGCGCTTGGTTATCCACACCGTACGCAGCATTCTGTGCTTTGCTGAGCAGATCTCAAACTTCAGCTGCCCTTCCATTCGTCATGCTTCTCAGGTCAAGGACTGAGAGTCGGTTTCACTATTAGATTAACATGTTTTCTGTGGCTCCTCACGCCAAGCAGAGTACACTTAGGGAGAAAAGCTCCAGAACAGAATAGCTCCGAGACCTGGTCCCTTAAGCCAAATAGAAATCACGGTTGCGTTTTAATTGAAATGATGACTGTCCTTTCCGTGGTGTTGACAGCAGAGTTGTTTGCAGCCTGCATGAGCTGCTCGGAGTGAACTGAAGCTGGCCACTGTCCTCCTGCTGGGAGGGTCCTGGGGGCAAGGGGTTGGGGAGGCCAGAGGCCAGTGGTTCTATTTCTGTGTTGGACACTTGGCTTTCAGGCACAGGTGTTGTTTGCAGAACCTCATGTTTTATGTGTAACTCCATGTTTTCTAGGGGCTTGTGGTCAGGGTAACTGGAATTCAGGTTTCCCCACCTCCTCCCTGAAGTGGGGCTGTTGCTTGACTATCCACCTCTTTGGGAGAATCCGCTGGCCGTGAGTGACAAACTGTGAAACTCTCCAACTGCTGGATTTAGGGGAGGGCCATGGAGAGGTGGGTGGGGCTGGGGTCCTGCTCCACGCTCCTCTCCTTTCCCCTGCGCTGACCATCGTTCCTGTGACCCACAGACCCCCTCTTCGG